TAGTGTAGTGTAGTGTGAACTAACCAAACTGTCTTCAATCATCACTGACGTTTTTTATGAGTGTTTCACCAAGATGTTGTAGGTTGTACAGTGATGATGGAGACTGAGAACAGGGCAACAGTCTTACTGACGATAAGCGTTTTGGTTGAGATATGTAACTTTATTCATTTGGAAGCATCACTTAATTTCTCCTGATGTCAATGACAGTAGAAGTAAAATTATATTTTATGTCTTAGGTACAGTCTAGTATATAGAAGAATGTATACTAATCACGAAGTTTGATTGTTCGTAACGGAATTTGATTGAGGTATGATCACAGGATGAATGTTGACTACTTTTATCTTCTCAGAGTTGAAAGGCTTACTTGTACTGATTTCTCGGTCATGCTCACCTTACTGTTGAGGAAACTATTTAAACTTCAAGTTGGTATTCACTCACCACTGACTCACTTCAATTTAGAGAACCAAGGAAGAATTGGGAGCACTGAACAGCGATTTCTTTGTAAGTACGCGACGTCTCAGTAGCACATACTCATGACCCCACCAAACATCGAGTCGAAGAACTCCAGGTTCCACGACTGACAGCAGTCTCAACGTCAGCAGTAAGAAATCTAGTCATCCAGTTTATATGACTTTTCCAATATGTAACATATCCAATAAAAAAAATTAAGACGGAATTTAGTTAAGCGAAAATGAAATTGAAAAAGTATTCAGTTTTCATCAAATGTCACCATTGTTTTTATTTGAATGAAATTAAGATATACTACTCACTATTGAGTTAAGTAATAAAACTAAAACTAATCAAATTTCTTAGTATGAGGAGAAAATGTTTGAGATAGTCTAACAGAGTACATTGTGTACCCGATGGAAATGATGATATTGCAAACCGGTCAGGTTAAGTAAGTTCTGATGCATATTTAAGAGGTGGAATTTTTAGTATTGAAGGAGCATGCAATGAGTGGTTGTGGGAGAGAGAGAGAGAGTGGTTTGTTGGGATTATTTGATTTCAAAGCAATTTTCATCACGAACTGACACGGATTAACGGGTAAGGGGGTTGAGCCCACCACCAACCAACAAGTCCTCTTTTGAATGTGTCACTTGACAATGAGGATACCACTTGTTATAGGAGTTGATTACTCGGTGAGATAACTAGTTGTGTATGGAGAGAGCTTTCATCTTTGCCTCGTATATTCAACTGTTATGTTCGATGAGGTGTTCTGACTGAGTGGGAAGCAAAAATAACGACACATCAGGTTCGAAATCACCTCTTCAAATCCCTTGTAGCATGAATGGATCTCCACTCTGTCTGTGAGAGGATAGGTTCAGTTGCTTTAGTGAATCTTCATAGGTGAGGTAACCATGAAAGATATCAAACCAGTGGCTATCCAAGAGTTCTGAGTTAGTTTTCAGACAAACCATATAGCACATTTCACCAGACACTAAGGGATAAAACCCGTTCCCTATAAGACACGTATAAATTACTCTGCACTACTTTCTACACCAAGTCAATTTAACAATTTATTGATCTGAGATAATTCTGAGTTACATATGGAATTAGAGTGGTAAATCAACTGAGGAAATGGCTATACTACTCAATGACAGACAGTCATCAACCGCTGTAGTTCAAATAACTTACTCATTCATACCGACAAAGAGTGAAACAGTGAATTTATGCTTTCCTCACCAATTGACTAAGGAAATAATTTAACGGGAACGGGTAAAACAAATTCGAACAATAAACAATCAATTGTCTGATTGTCTCATTGTTTTTCATTGTTATTTAAATTTAATTGATTAAGTATTGAATGAATTTCAAGGAGTTAAAGTGAATACATGGAATCAATGAATAGACATTGAATCCAATGGTAGAAATCTGATGAATGAATCAGGTGAATAATTTTAACCGATTACATATAATACATAAGTGATGCAGCAATATACAACAGTAAACTGGCAGAATATGTGGCTTAGATAATCAAAATACAATTAGTGTAAATGTTCAACTGGTATTTGTTTAAAATTTATACCAATTAAAATATATTATTATTATTATTATTATTATTAGCTATTAAAGTGTTGGAATCAGAGGCTTAACACACAGTTCACCTTTTACACATACTGGAAGCAATCTGTATCCACTCAGCAAAGTCTAATCCATGTGTTGAGAGGAAATTGTTGAGGTCGCTGTCTTCATCATAGCCATCTGTTGAATATATATCCTTGTGAGTGAGATTCTCTGTCATAAACATCTCATCATATATTACCATTATGATTTTATTGAACCTCACCTGTTTAACTAATTCACTAGTTAGTAGCCGGTCCTAAGCCCGGGTGAAGAGGGAAGGTTGGGCATAGGGCTAGCAACCATACCCCGTAAAACAAATCTAACCGCTAAACAAACTTCAAAGCACAGACGAAATATAAAAAATAATAACAAAATTATTCTTCACTGGAATCGGAGAGGTGAAATGATGCAAGTTTGTGAAAGCCTTCGCGAAGCCAATTGACCGATTTGTCTTCTCTCGCGATGAAAGCGAAAGTAAACGTGGGGACATGGAATGTCCACAGTATGTTTGAACCCAGTAAGGCAGCCCAGATTGCGAACGAGATGAAGAGGTATCACATCGAAGTGCCTGGAATTTGCGAAAGCAGATGGAATGGGAGTGGACTCTCCAAACTGTCAACTGGAGAATCAATAATCTACTCCGATATTATCACCCAGACAACAACCACGAGCACACTGAGTTTTGGAGTGGCTATCATGATGCCCCCAACAGCTTCGAAGGCTCTCTCTCATGCAGTGGGAACCAATCTCCTCCTGCAGGATCACGACAGCAAGGTTCAACTCAAAAGGAAGGAAGGAAGGTCACAATCATACAATGCTACTCCACGCACCTACAAATAATGCAGAGCAAGAGAAAAAGGAGGAATTCTACAGACAACTTCAATCAACACTGGACAAGACCCCACCACACTTGGCGACATAAATGCCAAACTGGGAGGGGACAACACAGGAAGGGAACTCATCCATCATGGGTTGAGAAGCGCTCGTTGAGGTGATGAACCAGAATGGAGAACATTTTGCAGAATTCTGTGCATTCAACGATTTAATGATTGGAGTCAGGCAGTGTGTTCAAGCACAAGGATATTCACAGAGCGAGCGACATGGATTTCACCAGATACCGGGACACACTAAAAATCAGATCGACTTTATCTCAATATCAAAAAAATGGAGAAGAAGTCTACCTGACACAAGGACAAGAAGAGAAGCAGATGTAGGTTCACACCACTCACTATCTAGTGCAAGGAACCTTCCAAATCAAGGTAAAAGCCTTCAAGGAAGCTGGTGATAGATTGCAGTTCAACTGAAGGACGACACCACAAAGGAAATCTTCGCGACAGCCAGCCATCAAGACAAAGTGGAAGATATCGAGGAACATCCCTGAAGAAACATGTGTGGAAGAACACTGGAAGTCTTTGAGGGCTATGTGGAAAGAAACCTGCACAACCTTATAAGAAAGGAAGAAGAAAGAAGACAGGACAGGGAATCGATCTCATTGGATACATGGAAGCTGATAGTAGTAGCCGAAGTCCTGAGCTCCATAAAGCTACTGAAATGTGGGAAAGCAGCAGGACCAGATACGATCCCACCGGAAGCACTGAGAACAGACGCAGAGACAACAGCGAACATGCTCACACCACACCACTATTGCAGAAGGTGTGGAAGGAAGAGAAGGTACCTGGCCATTGATTGGAAGAAGGGTTACCTTGTCAAACTGCCCAATAACTCCTCCACGTGTTTAATATCTGTTCAAATTTGTAATCAGGGTTGAAAGCCAAAGGCTGAAAAACTGTTAAAACTCCCATCTATCCGGTTTTGAATTTCCCTACAGGGCTGCTGATGTAGAAACAAACGTTGTCTCATTAGTTGGATGAACAATAACATCACTGTATTAATGGTTATTCTGGTTGCATATGTCTAAAATAGATGTTTCCTAACAACTAACTGGAAATGTTGAAGTGAGAAAGAGGTAGCCAGTTACGCAATACTGCTTGATGAATGCTACAACGAATATGAGGTAATTCATGAAATTGCTCACATTGATCTTCCAATATATTAACAATCAGTAATTGAATGTTTTCGGTTATTGTTCTACAAAGTGTATATAAATATGGCTTATGTGAATGTAGTTTTAGCATAGTGTTTAGCCATTTATAAAAATGTGCTGTCTTTCTCCATCTCCATCTCCATCTATCGTTCATAAGCTTTCATGTTATGTAATGAGATAGAATCGAATCACTTGATCAATTTTGTAAACTTTGAAATATTCGCTACTTAATAAACCATTTATCTTCTAACTCGACTAGTGTGTAGCTTCGATATATTGATTGGTTGCTAGAGAAGAACCATTTTCATGCTGCCTCGATACAAATGCTAAGAAACTTTTCTCGATTATCGATTCTTTCGATGTTGTAGACACTCGTCGCTGATGAGTGCCAACAAGCATGAAACCCAGTTCTAAGGCTTCTTGCTCATCAGAATGATCAGTCTGCAAATGACTTACAAATCGTATGCTCGATGATGACATTTCTCACACAGATGAGTGGTTTCTCAACTCTCACCTAATTATGGTATCAAAAGGCTTTCGATTGGAAACTACTCCTACCCAGCTGAAATCACTGGGCGTAATCTCTGATACATGATACAAAAGAATCATGAACTAATCACATCTACTACTGAGTAATAGAAGTAATTGGAAACCACTCAGACTGGTTTGTAGATTTTGCTGGTTAGATTACATCGATGAAAGCAGGTGATGCAAAATACGAGAAACGGGCTGTACGGTGGTTATATCACTCTGAGTTATTAGATCAGTCTGTTATTCAATGATAATTTTTCTTACAAACTATTAAATTTTTCATCTCAAATTTTCACTAAAATCATAATTCCTTTAACTCCATTATCCATTATCATTATTCTAGCTTATACATTGTAAATTAATGCCTAAACAGAATACTACTACTACTACTACTACTACTACTACTACTACTACTACTACTACTACTACTACTACTACTACTACTACTACTACTACTACTACTACCACTACTACTACTACTACTACTACTACTACCACTACTACTACTACTACTACTACTACTACTACTACTACTACTACCACTACTACTACCACTACTACTACCACTACTACTACCACTACTACTACCACTACTACTACTACTACTACTACTACTACTACTACTACTACTACTACTACTACTACTACTACTACTACTACTACTACTACTACCACTACTACCACTACTACTACCACTACTACTACCACTACTACTACCACTACTACTACCACTACTACTACCACTACTACTACCACTACTACTACTACTACTACTACTACTACTACTACTACTACAGCATTGCTCATATATCAAGTAATCATGATGTTATCTATGCGAAGATTAAGCGAATGGTGCTAAACAAGAGAGATACAGGTGAGTTAATGAGATTGTAAATTTTCAGAGATTCAGGTGGCTTTTACATGTGTTGCGATATCTAACCCCCACCGCAAACAACATTCACAGATAATATGATGACAGGTAGTGTGTGTGCATTGTAATTGACATTGACATTTCAAGCTATTGTTTCCACATGAAGAATAAATAATTTTTTTGTCTCATTCTGTCAGTGGTTTCACAAACAACGATTGAATAAGAATAATATGACCTGATATGTAAGAGGGAGAGAGAGTGTGTGGGGGTGGTGGGGGAGAGGAAATAATGAAACACTTAAGATTTAACATGTTTGCATGTTAGACAGGATAATTTCAACATCTCATACATATCCCAATCAACTGGATCGGGTGAAGCTAGCTAGCTAGCTAGCCAGCTGTGTACCCATTTCGACACAACATAAAATTAACATCATCATCATCATCGTCATTCGGTGGGCTATCGGTAAAGAATAGAGTGCACCATTGAAAGAGTTCAACTGTCATCTGTCAGCTTAGCATTTCCTAGGGGGGGGGGAAGGGAAATTAGTAATGTAGTAGAGTGCAGTATGTTGTAATGTGGTGCGAACGTGGGTGTAATTTGTAATCTGATAGTGACGTTGACAGGGTAGGGTGGGTTACGGGTAGGGGTATAGGGGGAGAGGTGTTGTAGTGACATGAAAACAGGGGGTGTTATGTGTTATTTGAGCCGAAAATTGGAAATTCAATTGAAATGTGAATCTCATCATAAAAATGTGACTGATCGTATTACACACTTCAAAAATATGTGATCATTATCCTGATTACTTACACACTTACTTACTTACTTGAGCAGACAGACTATTTGGTACACTGAAGAAGGTCAAGTGTTTGTCATCCATTTGATAACCAGATGATGATTAGTAGTGGCAGTGTGAACGTTGAGTTTATTATCTGATATTCGTGGTAGGAATGGGTGTAGGTGTAGGTGTAGGTGTAGGTGTAGGTGTTTACGTAGATAGAGGAGTGTAATGACGTGAATGAATTCTTATAACGAAACGTTGGATGGGAAATCATCATCTCTCTAGCTGTCAGTGAAATATCATCATTTCAATTGCAACACTGGTTTTCACTGATTAATGAATAATGATACATAGACTTTATGTGAAACACCTATCTTCATGTTAAGCCTTTATACAATCGACTTTGTAATTTGGAATAGTATACAAAATTCAAGGGGGTTGGGGGGGGGGGCAATGGATGTGATACTTGTTGACTATGTGGATTGAGCGATCTTTTGAGGTATGTAATTGATTCTTTGTATCCAGCTCTATACTGTTGAAGACATTTGCTCGCTTGAGATGCAAGGAGGGGATTTGGAAGGTGTTCACAGAATCTGAGGTATCGCTTCACCTTTCTCCCTCCCACCAATATAACTAACATCGAGGCTAGATGCTAACTCCAACATAAAGCATGTATAAGTTGGATTGGAAACATTTTTTAACTAGCATTGAAGCCTCGAGGAGCCTGAGCATAATGACTCAATCTGTTAACCAGTCACTGACTGACTGGCTTCTATATAAAACTTTGAAAACTGTTTGAACAATAATTTCATCACCGATTTCTGTATAATGTTTGGCTATTGATGAGGAGGATTGTCTCGCATCTGCGCTTATCAAAGTTTCACACTGCGTTCATTTTCCAAGCTATTTAGGTAGATGGCTGAATTACTCCTCTTTCCTATATATGTGTGTCACTGTACTCACATGTAAACTGATAAACACAATGAGATGTGACGTAATTGTTGATGATAGAGTAGTTAGGTTTGTGGTGGATGATGTGCTTTGTTTCGTTTTTTCAAGAGATCAACTGTGAAATAGATTTTGTTAATGACTGATATTAATTTTCATCACCAAATTTCTATCCAATTCCTATCGATGTAATAGAGTGAGTGAGTGAGTGAGTGATATGGAAGTTTTTGTTCAGGGAGTTTACAAACACTTGGCTTTACTGCTTGCTACCTGACTCCTACAACGGTTTATAAACTTCAACGGATATCCGTTTTGCATAAGTGTTTTTCCGTTAATTATTTGTCACCATCTTCATCCATCATATCTGATGTACACATAGGATAGATACAATTCAACAAGCCGTTTATTAAACCACGTTCACATTGGATTATACAGTAGCTGTGAAAGTTGAGATAATCTCCTGTGCATGTGGGCTGTTTGTAGATTGACCAGCTTGAAAGTGAAGGGTGAAGTGATGTTACTTTAAGGCACTGGAAGAATAGCAGTCTGTATGCATGTTGTGTTTCATCTCTACACCTCTTTTCCTATGAACACCATTTTCAAATGAATAATAGAACTGATAAATGACACTATTCAGTTCTATATATATAAACCTGTTAAATGAATAATAATCCAATGGCCTTGTTGAAGCACTTATACGAAGTCATGAGGTATGGAATGAAAAAAAATGGAGAGTGAGGGAATATAATTGTCAACGGTGTTGAATGATGGTTCTGTTGGGTGATGAAATTTGTGAATAACCAAAATGTGTATGACTGGATTACAACGCAGTGGCTGAACACTGATGTGTTGGATACCAGAGTAAACGGTGACACGCTTGATTCATGAAGTGATGGGTGAACACGGGTGGGGAGTTGCTGACTACGACCAAATAGGTGTCTACTACTCCTATGTCTTGTTTCAGTTTTATATGGTTCTACTACTTTTTCACTCTTTCATTTAATTCATAGTAGTACTGACATCTTCAGATTTCAAATGATTTAGTACAACGTTGAAGTTCAACCGTTTGTCAAATTCTTAGATTTAATTTGTGTTGAGAGATTGACCACCCACTTTGTTATATCGGTCGCCTATACTTTCTCACAGATCGTTTCTTTCCTCTCACTAGGACTCTATTTTCCATTCATTTATTGAATGTTTTTGTTAATTTAACCATTTCTGGATTTATTGAAATCAGATGGTCTCATTTTCTTTGATGTTTCAACTAAGATTTTTTATAGTCTATGCTGTTGATTCTCTTCATCAGTCTACCATTCACTTGTTGAATTTCACTTGAAATACAAAAACGGTTTGGTGATAATCTTATACAGTTTTTCTGTTAGGCACAATGTTAACATTCTCATCTCTTACTTGGTACTGGTGTAAGTCGACGAAGATATTTAAGAATGAAGTGGGTTTTGATACTTTCAGTGTTAAGAATACGATGCTGGATGAAATTCATGTGAGTTGTTTTGACTAGCCTTAGAACAGAAAGACTAAGCGTTTCATCGATATGTGTAAAGAATTCAAGCACTGTGGTAAAATGTAATTCCGTGTTAGATCAGTATATCTGATAATAATAATAATAATAATAATAATAATAATAATAATAATAATAATAATAATACAACATAAGTGTTACATGAAAAGGAAGCAAGCAGTTTACAGGTTTGATTATTTTGGTAATGTGAACTGACTGTTATGTACAATATGAAGCTATACAGTAGACACCGTTCTTCCCAGTACATGAAAGATGCGTCTAGAGTAAGAATGAAAGGGATAAACACCAGCACATAATTGTTCATCATACTGAGGCAAGCTCAATTCGAAAGTAGGAAATATTCGGCTATTGTTTAAATCTTTCAATATTCTTGAAGTTAGGGCAGGTAGTTGAGCTGTGACCTTAGGCTTTATGCGTTCATCATAAGGTCTAGATGGCATAGTGCACACTGACAAATTAGACTACTAGGATTCCATATGGATGTGCAAGACTGGTTGAATAAACCTGAAAAATGAATAGCAAAAGCGAGCATCAGATGAAATTCGGAACAGGAGCACAGAAATACAACGCAGAAGTACATCGACCATGATGCATGTAGGTGAATTCATTGTACTCACTACAAAAGTTACTTGAAGGGATATCCAAAACCTACTGTTTATAGATAAACTTATGGGGAAGAAGATGAAGGTGGATACAAAAGTAGTGGAAAGTAAACGGAAGCCGAATATATCACTATGGAATAGAGAGAATAGAAGACATTCGACCAGGTATTCACTTATGTGTAGGCAATCTATGTACAAAAGTTTAATGAAGTTATAAACATTGAAATATGAATCTATATATATATATAGGGTTGTTGATTAGATTACTATTCAGACTATCACAAACGAAAAGTAGTTATGTGGACAACGGTTAGGATAAGAGTAAGAAGGAATTGGACGCCTGTAAAGTGTTGTGATGCCGAGAGGACATGAGAAACCCCATGCGGCATTCCTATCAACTCTGGGATTCGGATGCCATTCAAATCTAGAAATTCACTAGGAGACAAAATTTATCGTCTAAAAGATTGATTATATTGATGGAACACGATAGAATAATTTAATTAACCAGATACCTGATAGTGATGTTGAGGTCAGATAAATAAGTTGAAGTCATGTAAAGGGGTCAATGAAATTAGCAGAAGAACAAGAAGGAACCTAGATTGGTCTAAACTGAGGAACTCTAATGAGTTGAGTAAGAAGAAGGGAAGAATTCAGTCATGTCTATGCATGTGATAATATACCAGTAGAAGATAGAGTAGGAGAGAGAGAGTTACACTCCTGAAGATTGATGTTGTTTTGGTGGAGGGAGATGCTCACCACTTGATTCTAATCTACTGATTCAACGACTCACACAACAATCAAGGGAATGATTCAACACTGAATCCAGATATTTGAACAGCTCTACTCTCTATCATCAGTTAAGTGAAAGAATGAAAAAGCAGTAAAACCATAGGGGAGAGAGTAAACTATGAAGATATGTGATTATGTTGATATGAATAACAAGAATGAATTATGTTGAAAACGTCATCTAGTTAATAATACTTTATCACTATGTACTGTATTGAACAGACAAATATGGAATTTAGCTAAACTATCCTCTCGTTTTGCATTAATATACATTGAAACCTGTTGA